CTCCTGGACGGCTCTCCCCAGGCACGGCTCCTGCCCCGGGAAACCTGCCTGACGGGTCGGCCGCCGCGCACAGCCCAGACGCTGCCGTGGCTTGTTCCCCCGATGGGCTCCCCGGGGCGGCTGGGCTTGGCGAGGCTGCGTGGAGGCGTCTCCCAAACCATCCCGGGCCTGTTTCGCAACCCCCCCGGCATCCCTGAGTCACCGTCGAGGGGTCCCCCTCTGTCCTGCCCCTCCCTCCTTTCCCAAAACCGGTGGCAAAGAGGGGTAGGGGGTGGTGAACCCTGTGTGCCTGGGCTGGAGGGTGATTGTCCCTGTCACAGACACGTTGGAAGGAGGGATTTGGGATTTGGGCATCCCTTCGGGGGTGAAAAAGCCCTTGTGGGGGGATCCTCATCTGTGGGTGGGGTCCCTGTGTGGCAGAATCACCCTTTGGAAAAGCATCCCGAGACCTGGGGTAGCAACAAGAGGGGAGAACAGGGGGGAACACATGGAAAGGGATGCTGGGGCCCAGCTGGCAATGCCCACTCGCTGGCCAGGTGTGAGATGAGTTTTCCAGGCTCAGCCGGTCCCTGTCCCACACCCCGAGGCAGCCACAGCTCCTTCCCAGGGCCGGCTCCTGCTCCTCGGCCGAGCAATAATTACAGGCTTGGCTGGAAGAGCAGGAGGCTCAACCTGATCTCCTGTGGGGGGGGAGCAGCCCCCCTGTGCCCAGACGGCCCCGGGGCACCCCCGGAGCCGGGACCCTGCTCGGTCGGGCGGGTCCAACCGGCCCTTCCCGGCGTGGATGCTAATCCCTGTGCTTCCCCTCCCTCTGGAAAAGGGGCTCTGCTGGAGGTGCCGGCAGGGTTTTTCCAGGCTGGGCACAGGAAGCTGCTCCCCACCACCCTATTGGGAGTAGGGTGCTGAGGACCAGAAAATCCTGCCCTGGCTGGGCTGGGTCCCCATCCTGGGACAAAATTCCCAGGGTCAGGAAAGCCTGGGATCTTAGCATGGTACATTTATATGCGTGTCTGTGCAGGGCAAAGGAGCCTCGGCTGCCCACAGTGGGGTGGGGATGGGGATACCAGTGATGATTTCCCATTCCCAACACAATTTCCCACTCCCATGACGATTTTCCAGTCCCACCATGATTCCCATGCCCATGATGATTTCCCATGCCCATGATGATTTCCCATTCCCACCATGATTTCCAATCTCCACCATGACTTACCATTCCAACCATGATTTCCCATTCTCACCATAATTTCCCATTCCCATGATGGTTTCCCATTGCTGATGGGATGGGGGATGCTGGTACTGGAGCTGTGGGTACTGGGAATGGGGTGGAGATGCAGATTCCAGGGATGCTGGTGGCAGGATGGGGTAGGGGATGCTGACACTGGGAGTGCCAGTACCAGCAAGGGGTGGGGATGACAGTACTGGGATGGAGTCAGGGATGGTGGTACCAGTGCTGGTGCAGGGTGGGGATGCCAGTCCTGGGGTTGTGATGCCAGTGTTGGGGTGAACTGGGGTGCTGGGACCGGGACAGTGGTGCTGGTACTGGGGTGGTGATATTGTTATGGGGCAGTGATGCTGGTTCTAGGGTGGTGGTGCTGGTGCTGGGGTGGTGACACTGGTACTGGGACAGTGACATTGATACTGGGGTGATGATGCTGGCACTGGAACAGAGATGCTGGTACAAGTTCTGGAGCAGTGATGCTGATTGTGGTACTGGAATGGTGATGTTGGTACTGGGGCACTGATGCTGGTTCTGGGCCAATAACACTGGTTCTGGTACTGGGCAGGTGACAGTGGTCCTGGTTCTGGTTCTGGGCCATTGATGCTGGTTCTGGGCCGGTGATGCTGGTCCTGGTC